AAAGTAACTTTTTTTCTGAAAGAACAAAATTTAAAACAAAAGAGCTTAAAGAAAAGCTTTAGAAAGGATTTTTCTCTACTTTTCTTTTAAATATATGTAAGTTTTAAGAAAATAAGCCTGTTTTCTTAAATATTCTTTGGGTGAAGAAATTTTTCTTTAGTCCTGCCGTAGTGTCGGGAAGACTTAGGAAAAATGTGGAAGAAAGTGCAAGAAAAAGAAAAAATAAATAGAAAATTATGGGGAATAAAAATAAATATGAAATCAAGGAAAATTAATTAAGGCTAACATGAAATAACACACAATTAATTGATATCATTCTTTGTAAGAATGAAACATTTGGAGCTTTTTGAAAGAATAAAATATGTGCCATCTTTGATTTATACATAACTTTAAATTTGTAGGAGCTCCCTAATGCTAATAGGACTACAAAATTCTGGATCGTTGAAACAAAGGGATGCTGCTATTGAATTCCCTGTTTCTGTATTATGATAACCATCCCAGAAAATATGTTCATTCGGGTTGGGGCATGTCTCCAGCAATGGAATGCAAGATGAGGTCCCGTTTGCCCAAGTTGTGCAACATGGATTGCTTGCATCAGTGAAGCCTACAAAAATCAATTAAATTAAACTATATAAATTGTTAACTTATAAAAAAAATTAATGGATTGTTGTGCTATAGACTAGTAGTGAAACTTTTAAAATGTAAAAACATAATTAAATACGTTATCATATATCTATTTGGTTGTTATATTAATTTATTACTTGCATCTTTGAATATGAATATAATTTAATAGAATAAGAGACAATCCTTTAATCTCGTTTTCAGAAATCAAAAACTCTACCGAGGATGTATAAGCTAATTGTTTAATACGTTTTAACACTTACCATATTTTGAAGGATTAGCAATGAGATCGTAAACTAATGAATTTATTGGAGCAAGGATGAATACCAAGCCCCGAAGAGTAGATGTTAAATTCTTTAGCATTGGATGAAGCTTGCTATTAAAATATGAGACAATTTGGTTTGTTTCTTCATGACATTTCCCGGTGAGTTCATATCTCCTTGTGTAATGTGGGAGGCATCCAAGCGGGCCGATTTCGAGCATTATTAACTTCCTAGCTCCTAATTCATATAGTCTCTGCAATTGCAATAATACAGGGTCAAAAAACAAAATATTAATAAACATATTCGGGAAAAAAAACACAAAAAAGCTGAATCTGTTAAACAATTGATGAATAGGAATTTGTGAAGAACCTCTAAATGCTTGGAGAGAGCATCTATGAGAAGCTGCGCAAATGTTTGAGGGTCATAATCTTGGCTTGTGCTAAATAATGTTGGTTCAAAATAGCTTTGAATGTAATCGTTGCTGCCCATTGTCAACATAAATATAGACTTTGCCAAGTAGTTAGAAAGCTCCTTAGAGCTTTTAAAGTGGCTAGGCAGCTTTGACTCAACTGTCGATTGAAAAAAATCAATTTGTTGACCCAAACTCAAGCATTTCCCCTGCAATAGAAAGGAAAACTTTTCTAGTTAACATAAATGATTTTAATTGGAGAGCACAAATATGAAATTATATGGTATGAACGTGCATGCAGCACCCTGTTAATTAAATCTAATTGATTGAGGACACCCTGTTAATGCATAATTGTTTATTAGATATGGGAGACATGGTCGTAAAAGAATGAAGGCAAATGCATTATATGGATACCCTGTCATGTTGCCGAGGATATGTATATAACCCTTCCCTTTAGATTAAGTAGCAAGTAAAAAAGAAGATTGCAAACCTTTTTGAAAACGTATATCACAGAAGGCAAAACAAGAAAAAGTTTAAAACTATAAACAACGAACGATATAAATATTTGTAAATGATTTTTTTAATATTATACTCACCTCAACATTTCAAGACATTAAAAGTACTTTGCCTTAAAAGTGATAATTGGTGGGTCAATTGCTAATTTTCAAAGGTATGATAAAAGTAGTTAAGTTTTAATTAAGCCTTTAAGCTCTTACTAATCGGCTTCCGGTTTCGGGGAGAATTCCACAAGCTGAAGATGCATAATTCAGACCAGATAGCATTATTGATTCATGTATACTCAGGTATGGTGGAGGGTACGGTAGCTCAAGAAGTTCAGCTTCAATAATCAAGAAACAAGGATAAAAATTAGAAACTATAATGGGTAATAGTTTAATGATGAAGAATTGATTTTTTATTATATCTGAGTATTTGACTCAATGATTGATATATATGTATCTCTATTTAAAGAGCAGTTTCGGAATCCCTTTATAAAAAAAAAAGAAATGATTTTAACTTGAATTTTCCATTACCTATAAAGTCTGAAAGAGTTCTTCCATTAGTGAACCTCCCGGTGAAGTGTTGGACAAAATTCTGACCATAAGGTGGGTAATTTGCCCTTGCAAAGGTTGGCAGATGATTGTTGTTGCCACTGTCAAACAATGAATCTCCGAATACATATAGAGCCGGCGCAAGAGGTTTACTGTGAATTAGAAAGAAGAAATGAAGGAAAGCAAATAAGAAGGACGAAATTAAGTCTCTACTCATCTTTCAAACGAGAAGATTATCTGTGCAAGAAAACGATAGAAGAGAAAGAGAAGAAGAAATGAGGCCAACAACAAAATATGCAATATTTCCTCTGGGACGGATGGAAGATTAAAGGCCAATGGAGCTTTAATAGAGTGGGAAAAAATTGATAAGTTGCATATGAATATGCAAAATCTTTTTCTTAGTTAGATCATTTGACTTGAAATCAAATCAAGTAAGATATTAATGCGGAGCCAGCCAGATTCTTCCTTTTCCGGGGAAGAGAAAAAATATTTTAAAGAATTCAGAGTTAAGTATTCCAGAATATGACACAACTACTGAAAGTGCTCAACACTAAACAGAATTTCATGAGTATCACATGAATTTTTTATCCTTTTTTTTAGATAAATTGATTAATTGGAAATTATTTCATTCGAATTTCATTACCGTTTTTCACTTTTATAATCATCAGCGAGCGACGTGATTATCACAGATGATTGTGGATTATTAATCAAAAGAAAAAAGAAATCCATTATAGATACATAGAACAGATGTAAACCAGCAGAAACTAATTTTAAATTAGTGACAAAATTAAATGGGAATGCCCAGAGTTTGACCCTTCATCATAATTATTCATCAAGATAACAGTTCTCTTTCAAGAATGAGATTACATTTCTTTGCATTCCAAGTAATCATCAACTTATTTTAATTGATTTCAATTCAAGCATTATATTATCTAATTTGAATATAAATCACTTAACTCAAAAGGAAAAAAAGAGAGTAAACTATCCATTTCGTCATTTAACTTTGTCATAATGCTTCAAAAGGTCCTTAAATTATTTAAATAAATTTAAATAAAATTTTATTCTTTTATTGTGTTTAATAAAGTTTCTATATTTTTATTTTTGATCAAACAAGTTTTTATGATTAGTGGTTGACTAATTGTTATTAGTTAAAATGTCATTGATCATATTTTGACCATGAGACATTGATGCAGACGGTGAAAAATATTGTATGGTTATGTGACCAACCAAATCAATATGTCATATTCTTATTATGACATGTCATTATAACATATGAACACCACATGGTACAAAATGATATCTGATATTTTGATTAGCAACAAAGTTAACCATTAATTATAAATGTTTATTTGGTTCAAAACAAGGATGGATATATATTGGCGCATGGAGGTGCTTGCCCATATAAATTTTCTAATTTTTTATATGTTTTTTTTTTTCAAAAACGAGTGACCCCCATGTTTTTCTCCCAACCCTTGCCAACATGAAATAAATGTTGAACTTATACCTATCACTGATAAGAACAGACCAATACTCCAAGAACAGATCTATTGATAACTAATAAGTATTAATTAAGCAACTTATAGAAGTGTGACTTATAAACCCAAGAGGCTAAGACTATGACTGCGTGACTCAAGAAAAGACAAAATATATAATAAAAACTATTAAAAGATATGTTGCATATATTCTTTTTAGCCTAAACTTTTTATATATATGAATGCATTAGCTTTTTCTAATTTTTGCCCTCTAATAGTTTAATCCTAGATTCATCTCTGGTTCAAAATAAAAGTATAAATGTATTATTAAATGTAAATAAAAGTATTTATTTGAATTTTTTAAATAGTTCAGATAGTTTAGTAGCTATTATGCCTTTAACTTTTAAAAAACTTATGTTTTGATTATTCAATTATAAAAAATTATGTTTTAGTCACCAACTATTATCAAAATTAATATTTTGATCATTCAACTATTTAAAATTAACAATTCTCTTAGATATTAGGTGTCTTTGGTCACATTACAGGTCTATATCAACTCTTTTGTTATGTGACATTGCTCATCTTACCAAAGTCACATGATGTGGACACTAACATGTGACAAATGGACTAATACGAACATGTAATATGGTCAAGATTTGCTGATGAACATGCTACTGGACCAAAATTAGCTGTTGCGTTAGATAGTTATCAATTTTTAACTTGACAGAAAAAAAATTAATCTTTAAAAATTGAGAGACCAAAATATTAACTTCTATAAAGATGACCAAAGTGTAACTTCTTTTAAATTAGATAATTAAAACAAGAACTTTGAAAAATGAAATGACCAAACGAATAATTAAAAAAAAAAAAGACTTGCCTTAGTTGGCAAATGAGTTGGCTATGAACATACTGAAAATGAGTTGATTGACAACTCCGAAATCCCTGTTCATGTGAGATTCCAACAATCTTCCACATTAAAATCATGATCATTAAAATTATGATAATCTCAAATAATATTTATTTAATTTTTTATGAAATCCACATTAAAATCATGATCATTAAAATTATGATAATCTCAAATAATATTTATTTAATTTTTCACGAAATGATATTTCAATAAAAGTAGGGTTTTTTTTTTAATAATTGAAATTCATTCATCATCCAGCGAAAGAGAACCCTGATAAAATGGAAAAATATCACAAAGCCTGGACAGAATCTAAGAAAACAGAAAAAAATAAACCTTTAATTTAAGCAAGCACAATATTTTCCAAAATTGAGAATCCTTGCGAGAATGAATGCAGCCAGTATACATATTCACATCTGAACCAGCTGTTGCAAATTAAGAGGAACGCAAACAGTATTGCCCTTGATGCAACCACTTGCTATTTCTGAATAGACAGCTTCAGTAGGATGATAGCCATCCCAAAAGTAGTTTTTGTTTGAGTTAAGACATGGCGCTACCCATGGAATGCACGCTGAAGTCCCATTTTGCCAAGTAAGGCAACATGCATTGCTCGTGTCTTCTAAGCCTGAAACATTGAAGAAATGGTGAGAGAATGTTTTGAATACGTTGAAGTTCATGTGTGAATCTGATATCTCACATCCATAAGAAGTGGGATGTCAAAAGGGTCATGCATACAGGACTCAAGAACCCATCGGTTTAAGCTTTTGGATTCAAATAATATACATATCCAACAGAAACAGATATGTTTGAGCCCTTCTGATGACTGATGTGTTCCTCATATATACCCCAACCAAAAAGGGAATAAAAAAAGAAGGAAAATAAAGAAAGAAAGAATGACATCTGAAATTTTTGTTTTGCTTGCTCAATATCATAGCCATTAATGGGGTGGGTTGACATGAAATTCACCTACAAATTTCATTCTTTCCTTTTTCCTAATCGCAAGTTATTAGCATAGATATTACTTGGATTCAAGTTGACTTTGATCAGATTCCATAAAAGTTAAAGTATGGGCAGTGGTAATCACATTGAAGCGTACCATATTTAGAAGGATTCATGACCGCATCATTCCCTAACCAATTACATCGGGCAAGAATAAAGGTTGATCCGGGAAGAGAGAATGTCAAATTTCCTAGCATTGTCGGCAGCTTATTGTTAAAATACGAAACAAGCTGATTTGATTCTTCTAAACATGGTCCGGTTTTTTGATGTGTCTTTGCAACCGCAGGGGTACATCCAATGGGGCCGATTTCAAACATAACTATCTTCCTTGCTCCTAAATTGTAAAGTGTCTGCACAAAATTGAATAGTTATATTACATTAAAAACTCAAGTAGATATGTCTAAAGATTAGGTTGCCTGTTTAGGCTCATGGACTGGTCGCTCAATTTGAATCAGTTCTAGGCAAAGATTTTTAGACAGCCTTAAAGGTATTACTTTATTAATAAATATTTTTTTTGTATTTAATATTCAGAATATATTTGAAATCTTAATATATACTTATTTTCTTATTATTTTTTAAAAATATAATATTATGTAAATGCTTAGGCTTGGCTTTGAAAAGTTGGCCCAAGAAGTCTGGCTTGAGCTCGACGCATAAATACCTATAAACTCAAGGAAGATAAAAAAAAAAACCAATAAATAGTAAATATACCAACAATTCTTCTATTGTCTAGTCGATAGAGCGTTCCTTTCCAATAAAAAGAAATTTAGTTTATGTATAATGGAATTAAAGGCCTTGACAGTTAATAGTCCTTTATAAACTTAGAAAACACAGCAATAATAAATATATTTGCTTCAAAAAATAACATTTATAACTTTTATTTAAATATAACCCATCTTTATTATTTGAGTTAAATTTAAGCAACTAATAATTAGTTTTTTTTTTTGTTATACATTCCTATTTAAGGCAGACAAAGGTGAAATGTCCTACTGCCTAATTAAGCAATAATGGGTGATTAGAAGCCTAGAAAGGAGGAGTTATACTGTACACTATCCAATGGCTTTTCTAGTTTTGTTTTTTCTTTCTTCTTATGCCTAAAAACTGCTATACTATAACTAATTAGCCTATATATTAAGTGATACTAGATATATATTAAATAGAGTTGCGATGCTGAGAAAAACCAGTTATATTACTGCCATCAGATGATTGAGCAGGCTAAAGGTTCCTATCAAACTGCAAAATTTGGTGCAAAGTTAATTAATATGTTAAGTTTAATTTAAAACCCTGCATCTACAATTTAAAGCAAAAAAAGATATGTAACTGTATTACAAATTAATGATGTTAGAGTTATGGCCCTCGATGTATAATAATGCATTAAATATGTGTGTGTATATGTATAGAGGGAAAGAGAGCACCTCAAAGTGAGCAGATAGCTTGTCCGAGAGGAAAGTAGCAATTTGCTGCGGAGTGTTTTTTTTGCTACTGTTAAATATGCTGTTTCCGCTATATATATTCAGATAATCATTGCTGCCGACAGAGAATAAAAAGATAGACTTTGATAAATACTCTGACAACTTAGATGAGCTATCGAAGTGTTTTTTCAAGTCTGACGCAATGGTCAGCTGAAACAAACTAATTTGCTCACCCAAATTTAGGCATTTACCCTGCAAACAACCCATTTGATCAATTTAAACTTTTTTTGAAAGAAAGATAATATTATTAACAACAGGAAAAGTTCCTGGAAAGGCAGGATCTTTTTTTTTTTTTGATTTAAAATTTAATGTGTTTAAAGGAGATATATGATTTTTGATTGTACAAAGGCATGTCTCATTGATAACTAGAAGGATACATTTGTTCACTTCATGAATAGATGTATCTGTATAATGAAGAGACATTGGTGATGTTTCGTCGTCTATAAATACCCATCCTTTCATTTTTGAAAAGCACATTTTATCTCTTATATCCTAACTTCAGAAATTCTTCTAATCCTTTCTTTTTCAAAAGTTTAATCTAAGCATTCCGTGTTTCCAAAACTCTATTCTTCATCATTCTAAAATTCTTTCAAGAGCAGTTGAGAGATTTACAAGTTTGTCAGATTACATGTGTCGAGTCTTCTCAATGACTTGTTGCTATGAATGAGATTGAGTCTCTACATATTAATCAAACATGATAGCTTGTGAAAACACCGAAAGGCTAGAAGATTACGGGATCTAAAGAAAGAGGTCTCGAGGTTGAAGGTGTTAGGTTCAAGGCACGACTTGTGGTGAAGGGCTATACACAAAAATAAGGACATGACTTTAATGAGATATTCTATTCCATTGTGAAGTACAATTCATTCCAAGTGTTGCTTCCTATAGTGACCTACTTTTACCTTAAGTTGGATCAACTTGATGTCAAGACAACGTTCTTTAATGGTGAGCTTAAAGAGTGGATCTAGATGTGCTAACTTGGGGATTCATTGTTCTAGGTATGGAAGGTTATGTGTGTCCACATAAAAAGTTGTTATACAGCTTGAAACAGTCTCCTAGGCAATTCTATAAAATGTTTGATATGTTCACGGAGGCACATGAGTATTCTAGGAGTATATATGATAGTTGTGTCTATTATAGGAAGCTTTCAAATAATGATCTGTTATCTATTTATTGTCATAGGTAGATGACATCCTTATTATGCTACTAAAGTTTGTCAAACATTGATGTATTGAAAAAGCAGTTTAATAGTGAGTTTTAAATGAAAAACTTAGGAACTATGAAAAAAAATAAGGTATGGAGAGCATTAAGGATAGGCATGCGTCTAGGTTATGTTTGTCACAAAAGAAGTACATTCAAAAGGCAATAAAACATTTTGGGTTGCAAGATTCCAAGTATGTGACTACTTTATTAGGCTATAGCTAAAAAATTTTTACTATGACAAACAAAGGATGAGGGGTACTTGACCCATATTCCTTTTATCGATGCAGTTGGTAGCATTATGTATGCTATGGTGTGTAGTAGGCTAGATATATCACATGTTGTTAGTGTGGTTAGTTGATTTATTGGCAAACCAAGAAAAAGACATTTGCAAGTTGAGAAGTCAATCCTTCGATAAGCAGTATAGACTTTGGCTTAATGTATGAAGAAGGTGCAAATACTAGTTGTAATGTGGTTGGCTTCTCCAATTTGGATTTTGCTAGTGACCTCAATAGTAAAAGATTTTAAACGGGGTATGTGTTCATTCTTTCAAGGTCTACAATCAGTTGGAAAGTAACAATCCAATCAACAATCGCTTTGTCTATGCAAAGCGAACATATTGTTGTGATTGAGACAAATGAAAGAGGCTTTATGGATACAAGGCTTGGTTAGTGATCTTGGTTTTGGACAAACACACAAAGTTAGATGTTTCGTAAAAGAATCAAACACATTCAAGTCAAGTGTAACTTTTTTTGAGAGATTGTTTTTGAGGTGAGATTGTAGTGAAGAAAGTATTGTAATAGAAAATTCGTCAGATCTATTAACTAAATCAGGTTTCATGATAAAGTTGGTGTTCGTAATGTTTAAAGCCTTTGGGAACATTGATGATGACAATAGAGATTAGTTGTAAGGTGGAACTTGGTGAATTCAAGTCAAAGGTGGAGATTTATTGCAATAGTCTTGAATTTTAGTTAAATTGAGATACTTTTGTTCTAGTTAGAATAGGATACTTTGTTGAGATAGTCTTAAATTCCATTTAAACTAGGATAAGACTCTTGTACTTAGCTCGATAAAAGGGTCATATGAAGTTATAGAATATCATTAAGTTGAGAGAGAGTTTAATGACTGCTTGGATAAAGAAGAAGAGATTAAAATGTAAATGGAACAAAGGTTGTGAGTTTTACATTAATCTTGTAATCTCTTGGTTTCTTCTTAGTTGAAATTTTTCTATCGTTGTATCTAAGGATGTAGGTCATTAAAATATTCAACCACGTAAATTTTTTATATTTTTATGAGTGTTTTTAAAATACACACACACACAATTTTAACGTAATATCTAAAAAGGTCCATGAAGTATTTAAAAAAAATTCAAATAAAACTTTATCAGTTATTGTTTGTTTAATCAAATTCTTTTTATTTTGAATCAAATAAGCTTTTATAATTAATATTTAACTAATTATTGGTAGTCAAAATAATACGCATACTAATATATCATAATAAATGATAACGTGATATGCTGATGTAATATGATGATGTGATCATACAATATTTTCATTTTTCATGTCAACGTAAACGTTATATAAATATAAGATGATAAATGACATTTTAATTAATTTTTGTAAAAGAAAAATAATTACGGATGCACAGTTTGGGTTTTTCCATCATTAACGTTTTCAATATCATATACATCCCGCATTCCCACTAGTATTTTGTATCGAAAATAGAAAATGCCACTAATAAAATTTGTGAAAAAATGGTTGGAGTAGTGAAACATTGAAGAAGGAGAGAAAAAAAAAAAGAACCGAGAACAAGAAGTTAAGAAATCAAATTAAAAAAAGAAATGCAAAAGCATGTGAAAACATAAATAACTTCTTACTAATGAGCTTCCGGTTTCTGGCAGTATGCCGCAGGATCCAGAAGCATAGTTCAACCCTGTCACTGTTGTGTTACGTCTACTCAAGAATGGTGGAGAATATGGCAGTCCAAGAAATTCAGCTACAACAAAATAAATAAATATCTTAATTAGTTCGATGATAATTAATAAATTTGGATATATATATATAAGGCACGAATTGAAACATAAAAATCATAAATATTTCATGACCCTCCTTCTAATCATTGAGTCAAAGTTTCATTGGCATAAAAAATCATGTTATTTCTACATTTCCATGTTAAAGATGGAATGGAAAGCACCTCCTGGGCGACGGTCATAAGCTTATATATATCATATACACAATATCAATAAATCAAACCTTTTTGAATAATAATTAAAATATACCGATTGTTCATCAACTAAGGTTCTTTGGAAAACATTTATATAAAAGATTATTAATACCTATAAAATCTGCGACTGTTCTTCCATTTGTAAACCTTCCAGTAGAACCCTTGGCAAAGTCTCTTCCGTATGGAGGAAAATGGGCCTTGGCAAGAGTTGGCAACAAGTTATTATTGCCACTGTCCAGCAATGAATCCCCAAACACGTACAATGCCGGAGCAAGCGGTACGCCATGCATCAGTGGGAGAAAACGAAAGAAAATAAGCAAGAAAACGTGTGACCCCGAGCTTCTTCTCATCTTTTATCGGTAGGAAAGTTTTTTTTTTTCTTTGGCTCGGCCTTTGATTAACTCTATTAGGAAAAGTTTTCTTTACAAAGAGAAAGACAAAAAGAATGGATAACTTAAATTGCGAGGATTGAAGAAGATTAGTGATGTCTACATTGATTTAGAGGAAAAATCCCTGAAAGCAAGGACAACTCTTACATTAAAGAACGCTAATGAAAGGCCTTCTCAAGATGTGGCCATTTCGCAGTATACAATGATGTTCTAAGCATGTAAAGTAGAGGGCATTAGGTCGGGCTATCAATCGCTTAGGGCCTCAATCCCAGCTCTACTAGGCTTGGTTTGGACATTTAGACCAAGTCTGGATCTATTAAATTATTTTATTAACTAAATAATAAATTTTTATTTATGTTTAAAACATGCTTAGAAATATTAAAATATTAGTAATATAAAATAATATTTTCTAATTTTAATAACTCAATAACAGTTAAATGGATGGATTCCGATTTAGGCTCGGGCTAAACTTTTGAAATGGAAGCTTGTTAGGTCCTACCAGAACTCGACACATCCTTGTCCATGAATATCTCTGTTAGATTTTCTAGTAAAATTAATGTGTGGATTTATGTTACTTACCTTTACATTTTATCAAAATTAGACTAAGATAATTTGATCTTGATAAGGGGACAATATTATAGTCCATACTATGATCTAATAAAATAGGTTAGACTTCAATGTTATATATGGGATTATAAAAAGGTAGGCCTGTGTAGGAAATCCTAAACCTATAATGGATGGGACTAGGGATTCACTATATAAAAGAAATGATAGGTCCCTTGTCTTGTTTACAATGACATAAAAATCTCACCTATTAGAGAGTCAAAAAGAAAAGAGAGGAAAACCCTAGTGCACTGAATACTAATACTTAATTTAATTAGTATTATTTTTGCAGTTAAACTATGGATAAGAAATCAAGTACGCTTTGTGTTCTAAATTCATATTATGTTAGATCTTAGATTAGTATAATTTAATTTATACATAAAGTTTATCAATTGGTATAGAAGCCACCTTAGTTAGGATTTAGAACCTAAAGAAATTATATATTGATTACATAAATCATGACTACATGTTAAGGTCTTATGTGGTACTTGGAATTTATGAAATTACATCATTAAAATGCATAGTTATCTTGGTATAATGCAATTAGATATTGAGCATGCTTAATTAATGATATATTATTAGCCATATGGTTGTTGGTTGAATTATATCTATATAATAGAGTGAAATCGTATTTGATAAATTGGGTTTTTCAAGGGTTTTGAGTTTTAACAATTTTAAGTCAGAAACAATTTGATTTTATATAATTTTGTTAAATTACTGGGGGTTTATTGTTTTTTGATGATTTAAAATTGTTATTGGGGCCATAAAGCTTGATTAAATTTATCAGTTTCATCAAATTAGACATAGCCATGAGTCTTTGAATTTGACATAAATTTGTCATGTTAAGATCTTCATGGATTTAGAAATTTAATTTTTGGTTATTGATTTTATCGATATATTTAGGGCTTTTGTCTCTCTTAATACAAAGATTAAATCAGTATATAGATATTAACTTGATTTGGCCGTATTTAGAGAAATTAAAGTTTAAAGTTTTGGGATCCAAAATTGAAACCCAATTTCTTATTTGATTAAATCCCTTAATTTTTAAGTTTTTAAGTTCGATTTTATCTCAACAAAACACTTCTTACATGTTATAAAGATGAATAACAAGATTGCACAAAAATTGGGTATATGGGATCAAATATTGAGAAAATTCAAAATAGGTCATAAATGGGTATGAAACCTGAAAATTTGCTCGAGTTGATATCGATTTAGGATGTTTTGATGAGTTTTAATACATTGGTATCATAAAACAAAGTCTTAATCGAGGTTTTGAATGGTCAATTTCATAAAAAATATTTGAAAAGTTGGGAATTAGAGAAAATTTGGTATTAGAGGGTAACCCATAAAAACATGTGTGTGGAGATTGTCTAGTCCTAGTATTTTATTCACTTAAAGGTGGTAAGTTACAAAGGTTGTGTTATATTCTCATGATCATTTTTATGTGAAAGCTCCTAATTATGTGTCATGCATTCAGCCTAAAGGTGTTTACAAGATGATGTGCCTAGACTCTTTAGTTATACTCATTTATGGTTTTGGAGTATTTGAATTACCTACTTATTCTAATAAAGTTGCATTGTTTAAATTTTTAAGTCACATTTTCTATCAATAAAAGACTTGGCCACCATGAGATTTTGACTATATCAAACTTTAAGGATTAGGAAAGTGATATGGATCATGTATGCAGATTTATCTATGAATATAAATAAGCTTGTATAACATATTGTTGAAAGTTTTGTGAATGATAAGGAAGCTATAAATTTTGTCTAATTGTTGTCAAGAGGTCAATCCCTGTATACCTATTAAGTGGATTTCTTAATATTACTAAAATAAAGGAATTCTCAGTTATAGTAGCACTAAGTTATAGGGTGTCATCAAATGTTAAAATTGGTACTTTTTTGGAAAGACTTTATTCCATGAGTTATGATGGTCCACTAAATTTAGTACTCCTAAAAGGTTTAGGACAAAAGAAAGAAGGAACATAAATATTCTTTTGCAAGAAAAGAGACATAAGAAACAAGATTGTCCTAAATATAAGACTTAGCCAGAAAAATATAAACTTAAAGAGATCCATAAGTAAAAGAAAGCCAGATAAGGATAAGTCTAGAGTCATGATTGGCAACAAAGTAAAGGTGGAAGTTGAGTTTGTAAGAATAGTTTGTTGAAATTTACTTTCAATTTCTTTATTAAACACTACTAGTTGAATTTTGAAATAAAAGATTATATTATTAGGATAATCAATGATTCAAAATGTATTAGCTTATGTTCTTTGACTCATGTTATGTTGAAAGAGTTGCCAAAAGACCCAACATAAAAAAAACATCTTTTATGTTGTGGCATAAAAGACTTGGCTATATTTCTAAAGAAAAGGTAGAGAGGTTAATAAAGGATAACATCTTGTCTACTCTTATTTCTGATGACTTGGAGATATGTGTTGATTGTTGTAAGGATAAAATGACCAAGATAAATGAAAAAGATCAAATAGAAAGTTTTGATTTATTAGAACTTACTTACACTGACATAAATGGACCAATTAGCTCTACTATTTACAAGCATAGACATTTTGTGGGGTTTATTAATGATTTTTTTGTTATGGTTATATGTTCTTAATTAAAGAAATGTTTGAAACTTTTGATAAATTTAAGGTCTTTAAGACTAAAGTTGAGAAACAATTGAAAAAAATCATTAAAACTATAAAGTCAGATAGGAGTGGTAAGTATTATGGTAGACATGACATAAGTAGACATCAAAAAAGTAAGTTTGCCAAATATATAAATAGTTGTGGAATAGTGTCCCTATACACCATGTCTAGTAATCCTGAACAAAATGGTGTGGCTAAAAGGTAGCATCACATCCTAAGGATATGATGATGAGTATGATTAGCGAGGCTATTTACCAAAATTTTTGTAAGGAGAAGCAATCAAAATAAATTTTCATATCTTGAATAAAATCCCTACCAAATCTATAACTAAATTCCCGTTAAATTTTGAACTTGATGGAAACCTAATCTTAATCACTTGTGTGTTTAAGGATGTCCTTCAAAAATGTCCCAATCATTTCGGTTATCATTATTTTGTTGGAAACTTAGATCATTTTTAAGATTACAAATTTTACTGCTAAAGAGAGGTGGTAAAATTTTTAAGGTAAAAACAATTAAGTTTTTAGACTTACATATGGCTAATAATAGTTGTTCTCACGATGGAGATGGAGGAGAGCATATTGAGACAAATATTCCTATACCTATATAGAAGGATAATATGACACATACACTAGTTGGGAAATAAGAATAAGTTCAACTAATTCTTGATGTGGTCACTCAACATTAGAATGTTGTATAATAGATGCCATAAAGAAGATCCACAAAGCTAAGGAAGTTTGATCTTTCTTTAGACATCTATGAATTTTATCTTTAAGAAGGTAATTATAATATTGGCCATATAGTTTATCTAGTAACTTTCCTAGAAATTGTTTTTAATCTTAAATTAGATCTGTGGTGAGATGCAATGAGGGATAAGATACAAATCTATGTTATACACTAGTTTATGGGAGTTTGTTGAGCTAAATAGTGGTTGGAAACTATTATTTGTAAATAAGTATACAAGACCAAAAAAGATTCTAAAAGAAATATTAAGAGGCTTAAAGTCAAGCTAGTTGCCAAATATTTAAATTATAATTAAACTTTTTTGTTGTATCATCCTAGGATACTATTTAGACTATTTATGGCATTAGTAGTTCTTCACTATTCAGAACTATACCAGATATATGTTATGATTGTCATTCTAATAGAGAATCTTATAATTGAAAAGGTTTATATGTTGCAACTTAAAAAATTTGAAAAGAATGATAGAGATCATCTTGTGTAAAGACCTAAAAAGTCTATTTATGGGTTTAAAGAAGTCTCTCGCTAGTGATATCTTAAATTTGATGGTCCCCTCCCTTAGGAGCACTGATCTAGTGCTCCCCCCTCCTTTAGGGAGCATTAATCTCCAAGTGCTCTCTTATTTTTTAAAACTTAATAAAAATTATATAATAGTATTTTTGAAAATTAATAAAGAGTAAAACTATCATTTCAATATTACCACATCATCAAACTAATAGAAACACTAATGGTTGACTAACGGTTGGATCTATGTGTCTAGCGTAAGATTTTTTTTTAGGCAGAATGTCCATTTCAAAAATTAATGGACCTGCTTGGAACTTAAGGGGGTAGGGCTATTTGACCCTTCTTATTTTGTATGTTATTGACATCTTGCTTGCTAGTTGTGTGTAAAGAATTTGACATTAAAGATCTTGGGAAAGCATGTTATGTCTTTAGGATTGAAATTCATAAAGACATATCTCATCACTTGTTGAGACTTTCTCAACATGCATCCAA